CACCCTTCTCCCCCTTCCATCCGTCCTTGCTCCTCCCATCACGTGTTGCCACCATCTCCCCTGAGCAGACGCAGCTACCGACAACACGCACACACACCAAAACTAGAAATCGTGGTCGCGGCCATCATAATCAGACACCAATTCGTTGCCGCACGCGTGGTTGTAATAATCCGTATGCTGATGTAATTAGCAACGATCATCGTAACCGTCGCGTGGGTCGAAATAATTGCCAACGTATTCGGACCAGGTGAACTAATAGCAACAGTAGTGACAATACTCGCAAGACGTGGGATACGAATGAGGCCAACCGTAATGTGTTGTAGTATTTGTCGTAAATGTAGTGTGGTGATCGTCGCGATGAGGGTGATCTCAACTATCATGTATTAGGGCGGTAGCGTGACGTAGTATTACACATAAGGCTGAAGAGCTGCCCGTATATACGCACGGCCCCGCACCACTCACGAAACAGTCGGCGCCACAATCTGGCAACGCGCCTCAGAAGTACGCCAACAATGAAAGCCGCGGACACAACACCAACAACACACAACATATAACGCATCCGCGTTCCAACACACAACCAACACCAATACCACCACCGCCGCCCGAGTAATCAACACTGAATGAGATGAGTTATCCGGTGGGGCAACATCTCTAAATGAATGCAAACGCACGTGCTCGCTATGATTATTTTCGGCGATGGCGACGGCCGCGGCTGCGCACACAAGAGATCCGCCAACGTGCCGTGGGCACTGAATAAAGTGTCCTCGCGTCCCTTTGAACCCTCTGTATAAGGATAACGATACAACCATCGCGCTACCTAAAGGAACGTTCAATGAGGAAAGAAGGGGGCGAACCTCGGCCGCGAATTAGGTCCCCGACACGGATCTGAGGACGGGCCCACAGACCGAAAACCGGGGCCCCATCCTCAACCCGAAGAGCGTCTTATTCCCTGTCTCATAAGATGGGGTTCGTGTTATCACTCGGCTCCGGACCTCGCTCACACCCCGCATCGACACCCTCCTCTTCCTCAAAGTCACCCATACTGAGACTCTCTCGTGCTCAGACTCGCTCGTACTCGGACTCACTCGGACTCAGACTCACTCGTACTCAAACTCACTCACACTCAGATCACTCGGACTCACCTGCAGTCAGACTCAATCATACTCGGGCTCACTCGCATGCAGAGTCGCTTGGGCCACTGCTCACTGCGAGCTGGCAGGCGTGGCACTTGGGCACCCCAAGGGGGAGCCGCCAGGGGTGGGGACTCCAGGATTCGCGCCCAGGTTGTGGGGACATCTCAAGCGGTTTGCACGTTTTTGGTGCCCAACATCCTCTGCTTCCAGCACAGTCTGTGAGGATGTCTCAGGCGAGGAGCTTGTTTCAGCACTCGCAAGGGGCGCTGGTTTCAGCACTCCCAAGGTGGAGACGCCAGGGGAGGGGAGATATTCAGGATTCGCGCCCAGATTGTAGGGATATCTCAAGCGGTGTGCCCGTTTGGATGCCCAACACCCTCTGCTTTTGGAGCAGATTCTGAGGAAGTCTCAGGCGAGGAGCTGGTTTCAGCACTCCCAAGGGGGAGCTCCCAGGGGTGGGGGGGCACTCAAATTCAGATACTCTTAAACCTGTCACACTCACACTCAGATACTCTCCACTCGCACTAAAATTCACTCAAACCTCTCACGCTCACACCCACACTCAGACTACTCACATTTACTCACACTCGTGCGCATAGATTCACTCACACTCAGACTCGCTCACGTTCAAACTCATTCACACTCAGACCCACCTGTCCCCTGATTATCATACTCCGACCCGTTCATGTTTATCCCCGCTCGCACGCAAACACTCGCAACGGGACATGTATGGGCACACCGATGCATGTATGGTGATCTCCGCGTCGAATAAGTTCAGCGCCTCGACTGCAACCAGCATTGCACTACTTTCGTCCCAACCATCCTGGGGTGTTGGGTCCTCCTTTTGAGCAGACAGCGCCCCGCGTCATTCTCCTCCTCATCCCTCGTTCCTCCTCCTCTCCCTTCCTCCCGTATCTGCCTCTGCCCTCCGCATGCCGATGTCGGCACACACACACACAAACACACACACACACACACACACACTTACACACACACACACAAACACACACACACACATACACACACACACACGCACACGCACACGCACACGCACACACCTCATACGCTCCGTGGCCCCAGAGGGAGCTCCACCGAAGGCCCCAATGGCCAGGATCGCATGCCTGGCCCGCGCCATGCCGGCGCACCCCTCACACGTTTCGTGGCTCCATATGGGGCTCCACCCAAAGTCCGGGTGGCAAGGTTCGCAGACTTGGTCCACGCCACTTCGGCGCACCTCTTACACGTTCCGTAGCCCAACATTGAGCTCCACGAGGGGCCCAAGTAGCAGGGCTCGCGTGCCTGGTCCAGGCCGTGTCGGCGAACCCCATCACACGCTTCGTGGCTCCATAGGGAGCTCCACCTAAGGCCAAAGTGGCAAGGTTCGCATGCCTATCCACGCAATTTTGGCGCACCGCTCACACGCTTCGTGGCCCCATACTAATCATCTCCACCTACATCCCCAGTGGCACGGTTCGCATGCCTTGTCCACGCCATTTCGGCGCACCTCTCACCTGTTCCGCGGCACCGTAGGGAGCTCCACCTACGGCCCAAGAGGCAGGGCTCGCATGCTTGGTCGACGATATGCCAGCGTGCGCCTCATACGTTTCGTGGGCCCATAGGGCCCAAATTGCAAGGTTCGCATGCCTGGTCCACGCCGTTTCGGCGCACCGTCGCACGCTTCGTGAGCGCATAGGGGGCTCCACTTACGGCCCCAGTGGCAGGGCTCCCATGCCTGATCTACGCCATGTCGGCGCACCCCTCACCCGCTTAATGGCCCCACAGGGAGCTCCACCCACGGCCCAAGTGGCAGGGCTCGCATGCTTGGTCCACGCCATGCCGGCGTACGCCTCACACGTTTCGTGGGCCCATAAGGGGCTCCACCGAAGGCCCCAACTGGTAAGGGTTCGCATGCCTGGCCCAAGCCGTTTCGGCGTAACCCTCACACGCCTCGTGGCCCCATAGAGGGCTCCACCTACGGCCCACGTGGGAAATTTCGCGTGCCTGGTCTGCGTAATGTCGGCGCACCCCTTAAACGTTTCATGGCCCACAGGGAAGTCCACCTGAGGCCCCAAGGGCTGCGTTCGCATACCTTCTCCACAACATTTGGACGCGCGCCTCTCACCCGCTTCGTGGCCTCATAGGGAGCTCCACCGAGGGCCCCAATTGCAAGGCCCGCATGCCTTCTCCACACCGTGTCGGCTCACCGCTCATACGTTTCTGGCACCATTGGGAGCTCCACCTAAGGCCCCACCCGGGGCCGCACTGACAGACGCGCAGATCAGCCGTAACGGGTTGCATCCAGATGTAACCCGTTACGGCCGACCTTTGCGACTCCATCAACGACGTCGTTCCGCCCTTCCCACGCAAGCCCCAGTCCGTGTGCCAGTCCCTTCCCGTAGTTTTCACCTATCTTGCGGTACTCGCAGCTGCACGTGGTTGGGTCGTTCGCCAGGCTGATTCGAAACAAAACACATAGGCCCAGCATTCCTGAAACTCTGAGGGCCGCCGCACGACCCTTAGGGCCGGTCGTGTGGCGTTCTGAGGCGACTCGCTTGACTTTTCCAGAGCAAGGCCATAAGTGCGCCAACACTGGAGGGACCCAGGGAAACGCAAATAAATTGACGCGAATCCAAACATCCCCAACGCTCTCATATCTTCTTGATGCTCGTCTTCCCCTCCACTTCCAATCCTTCCCCACATTTTCCGGGGGACCGACGATGCACTGTGTCGGTGTGTTTTTTCTCCCTTCTGGAGCACGGCCTCGCAGGGCCGAAATGTTGGCGGCGCCCGCAAGGGAGCGGCCTCCTGCGAAGGTGGGGGGGCCTCCAAGGGAAGGCAGGCGGCCTCTTGGACGCCCCCTGGCTTCTGGGACGCCTTCCCCGAAGCCGCCAGGCCCTCCTAAGAATGACCCCTGCCTTCCCACAGGCCTTCCTCAGCCTCCTCCTCCTCCTCCCCTCCTCCTCCTCCTCCTCCTCCTCCTCCTCCTCCTCCTCCTCCTCCTCCTCCTCCTCCTCCTCCTCCTCCTCCTCCTCCTCCTCCTCCTCCTCCTCCTCCTCCGGGGGGTCGGGCGGGCTTGGGACCAGAATGCACCGTTCCCGAGCGCTCCAGAACGCTCAGAGCGCTCCGGCGCGCTCTGGAGGGGCCGCGGCGTTCCAGAAGCCTCCGGCCTTCTCACAGGACCCCCAGGCCTGGCCACGCCGGCACCTCCACCGCGCGGGGGGCGGCGGCGGCTCGCCGCAGGCGTCCCCGACAATTGGGGGAACCCACGCCGTATCTTTGGGCGGGCCCCGGAACCACGAGCGCCCCTACCGCATCCGTCCGAACAGCGGTGGATGCTTGGCGCGCCTAGGGCGCTGCCAACTCCAAGCCCCTCCCCGTGGCCGCCATTACCAGCTCAGGCCGGCTGCGTCAATACTACCTAAAACTACAGGCCCATTGAAACCGAGACCAACAAACACAGATCGCGGGTCACGTAAACACGAATCAACGATGACCAACGCGTCCATGCGAAAAAGGTCGGCACCATCCATACGGCCTTCTTCCCAGGTCGCAGCGGCGTCCGAAGGAGACATACAAAAATGACACTTCACGGGAGAAGGAAAGAGAAGAAAGGCACTCGCAGCGCATTGTGCAAGCAGGTGCCCTAACATAAGGAGACTCGTATGACGTATGTACAAGATGCTTCGTGGGAGCGAATGCATGGCGAAATCCAGTCTGAAACAACTCATACGCTTGATCCAGGACATGCACGACCATGGAATACACTACCCACTACGTACGTCGTACTTTTTGGTGCAACCACAGGCTGGTTTCGTGCTATCAGCTGGCTGTAAGTGTTGAATAATGATTGGCCTGGACCCCTCTCTC